ACAGCTGCTCTGACAGCTCCTAACACCACAGATCTTGTCCTCACTGCTGCAATGGTTACAGCAGGTCCAGCACTGAAGGCACTTTTTTTTTGGGAAGCATGCCAGAGTTTTCCTGAAGAATGAAAGCAGGAAAAAACTACCAGTTCATTTTAACAGTTTGTATCTCCTTCAAAGCTGAATCTAATTTAGTGGAACATAAAAAGGCACTTTGTTCTCTGATGGTGCTTCCCCTACCAAATGTCAACAGCCTACTGCAAACAATGGAATTTTCAAGAGCTCCTTAGTGAAAGGTCACAATTTTTGTATGGAAAATGCTAGGCTGTCTAAATAGAAGGGTCAACACCAAATGCCCCATAGTAATTTTTTAAAATCATGTCTACAGGCATGTTTGTATTTTCCAGCAGACAGAGGGTCTAACCAAATAAAACAAGATCCATGCTTAGGTCATCCATGAGGACTAACCTTCTATTCTCTAATCTTGAAGACATGAATCACTGTTCTCACAGACCTGATTTGTTCACTCAGTGATTACCAAGAACTTCTACTTACAATCCTGCACAGCAGCAGGGGAAAAAAAAATCCTCAGAGTTCACAGCCTCTGAAGAAGGCACTGCAGGACTACACATCTCAAATGCTCCCCACAATGACTTAAAAAGCTTACTATGTGACTAAGAAGCCAGCATCCCCCATCACGTCAGGTTGTGCAAGAAGCTTCCTCCATGAACTGCTCATGCACACACCATGTGATGGACACACACACACTCACAGTCATACCATGGCATAGGAGCTATAGCATCTTGTTTGGTTTATTTTAGTCCTCCATTCCCTGGAGTGACCTTCTACCAGCTTTTAGTTATTTTTCTGTAAAGCAGGTAAATGAGAATCATCTACTCTACAATGTTAGCATGGGCTGTTGGAAACAGCAGTTTTAAGAGGCGTAAAGATATTAACAGACATCAGCTATGACCAGAATTTTCTTGCTTGAAGATGATATACTTTATCATGGATGCAAGGGCATTGTGCAAGGAAGGGTATACGCATGCTGTGTGTTTCTTTCCATCTAGATGACATAAAGGCAGATTTTTCCAGCAGAGGCCATAACTACATTACATATAATAAATTTGAGAGATCTGGCACCAGAGAGCTTTTGCCTTCCAAGGCACTGACAGTTTCGTAGGGCCCCTCCTGTATGCTCTGTTCCAGCTGGCCCTGCCTCCCCTCCCTGTCTAGAGCTTTCAAAATGAGCTCCAAAACATGCCAGACAAATAACTTAACCCTAAAGATGCAAACAACAGGGAGTACAAGACGAATTCTCTAGAAATCATGGAACAACAAAAGCTAACATGAGCCACAATTCGACAACTTCACATCCCTAACAAGAGAACTCTGTATGCCCAAGCAGCTTTGCACTGGCCCTACAAAATTCACTTAAGAGACAAGTGCAGTGAACTAGCTAAACCTCAGAAGTGCCAAACAGTCCATTCTCAAAGACGGTCAAAATTCAAAATAGCCAGGAACTAACCTCCTGTGCAGGAAACCATTTCA